AAAAAAAATTTTTTTTTTATTTAGGGATTCTTTTAATCTATATTAGACTTACATCTTCTTGGCTCATCTTCAAGATTGTCACATCTTAGTCTGTTTTCTATTACTAAAATAAAGGGGCTGGGAGATGGCTCAGTAGAATAAGGGCTTCCCTGGCAAGTACAAGGGCCTGAGTTCAACCCCCGGTTCTGCCAAAAAAAAAAAAAATCACAGGTTTGGGCCTGGGGATATAGGTCAGTTGCACAAGCGCCTGCCTGGCAAGTACAAGGTCCTGAGCCAATTCCCAGTCCCCCCCCCAAAAAAAAAACCCCAAAAATCTAAAATGAAGATACCTAAGGCTGAATAAGAAAAAGGGGTCTATTTGCTTTGCAGTCCTGTGATTCAAAGGCACCATGCTAGTATGACTGCTCTGCGCTCTATAAGGACCTCATGGGGCTTTATATGTGAGAGGGAGAGAGCACATGGTAAGATGGGTAGCCGGAGAGAGGTGCAGGGCCTGTAACAACGCCTCATTACCTCCCCTACCTCCTGAGGATCTGACTGACGCTTTTTATTTCCTTTCTGGCTGAGATTGAACCCAGGTCCTTAGTCCTGCTAGACTAGACTCAGCCAATAGACTGTGATTTCCATTGCTGTTCAAGCCTCCAACACATGACCCCTTGGGGGACTGACCACATCTAAACCATAGTGGTCACTTACTCTTGAATCTTAAAAAAAAAAAAGTCTTTTTTTTTTAAGTGTATTTGTTAAACACAGCTCTAAAGCTCACTTTGTAGCCCAGGCTGGTCTTAAACTCGAAATGATGCTTCAGTGTAAGCCTCCCAAGTGCTGGGACCAAAGGTGTGTGCCACCATGCCCAGTTAATAAATACACCTTTTTGACCAGTGTGATTACATGCGTCTGATCCCAGCACTTAGAAAGCTGAGGCAGGAGGATTGCTGCAAGTTCCAGGCCAGCCTCGACTACAAGGTGAGTTCAAATCCAGTCTGAACTACTACCCTGTCCTAAATTTTCTGTAAAAAGAAAAAAAAAGATATCAGATATGTTTAGTTACATATATCATTTTCTTTATATCTTTAAGCTCATTTGAAAATAGGCTTGTTTTTCAATTTATTTTTCTGACCTTGTTGCGTATTTTTCATGAAATTATATTTTCTGAACTTGTAGAAGTTCAGAAATCTTGTAGTTCTTGTAGAAGTTCAGAAATCTTGTGAAATCTTGTAGTTCTAAAAGATCTAATCTCTAAAAGACAAAAAAAAAAAATTTTTTTAAGCACGTTTCTACTTTTTCTTAAGATATCAGATATGGGCCGGGGAGATGGCTCAGTGGAATAAGCGTTTCCCTAGCAAGCGCAAAGGTCTGAGTTCAATCCCTGGTTCCGCAAAAAAAAAAAAAAAAAAGATATCAGATATGGAGCTGGCCTGATAGCTCAGCAGACTAAAGCTCCTGCTTAGGCAGAAAGTACAGTGGCCAGGGTTCAATCCCCATCGTGCCATCGGCCCCGCCCACAGGACTCCCTGAAACAGCGATTGAAACACTTGGGAGGCTGAAAAAAGAGAATCACTATGAGTCTGATCTGCGTTGTAAGACCCTGTCCTAAATTTTCTATAAAAAGAAAAAAAAAAAGATATCAGATATGTTTAGTTACATATATCATTTTCTTTATATCTTTAAGCTCATTTGAAAATAGGTTTTTCAATTTATTTTTCTGACCTTGTTGCGTATTTTTCATGAAATTATATTTTCTGAACTTGTAAAAGTCTTGGTTAAGGATAATATTTCCAGCTTCATAGGTTGTTTTTCAGATAGTAGTTACAAATACAGTGGTTTGATTTCTAAGGTTTCCTAGCTTTGTCACCTTCTCTTTTTTCTTCCTTCATCTCTATTGTGCTTGTATAATTTTGATTCTGCATGGAATTGTACTATGTAATTTTGTTTCTATTCAGTGATAGCAGTCTCCTTAGTTGGGGTCACCTTCCTAACTCTTCAGTTTCAAGGATTTTTAGAGGCTAAATTGTTGGGTCCCCTTCATACCTTACAGCATGTAGGACCTCCTGTTGGATTTGGTGAAACCTCATATTTTCAGCTGCAGTCCTCACACCGGCTCCTTGTACTTTTCCATTGAATCGCTTGTTGGCTTTTTGGTCTGATGCCACAAAGGTCTGGTTGGTTCTCACGCACTTACATTTTGGGGTTCTTGGAGATACCCTTGGAGATAAGGGGATATGGTTTAGTACTGTTGTAAATGTCCACTAGTGTTTTGATTTTGCTTGCTTTGTATGTTTCTGAGGGCATTTGTAGAGATTCTAAAGCTTCATATGTTTTTGCTATTAAAAAAATTCTGAACAAAAAAAAATTTAATTAATTAATTAATTTATTTGTGGAACCGGGGATTGAACGCATGCCCTTGAGCTTGCCAGGCAAGCGCTTATTCCACTGAGCCATCTCCCCGGCCCCTGGGTTTTTTTTTTGAGACCAAGTCTCACTATGTAGTGCAGGCTAGTCTTGAACTTGCTTGGGTAACCCAGGTTGTCCTGGAACTCTCGGTGATCCTGCTCCTAAGCCTTCTGAGTGCTGGGATTGATTATAGGCATGTGCCACCACCATGCCCAGGAAAATAAAGATATAGGTCATAGATACCATAAATCATAGATGTGCTTGGGTTACTAGTTAATAATAATAGCCCAAAATTTTGTAGTTGGAAAAAAATATATACCTGAGGGAAGACATTGGTATTATTAGTAATACATCATTTCATTTGTTGAGTATTTTTGAGACACAGTTCTAGAGATAAGAAGTACCAAAAAATTAATAAGATACTACTATCTCTTGAAGAAAGTTAGTGTTTCATGTCTATTTACCCTAACGTTAGATCCTAAAGCTAAGTTTAATGTTAGGAAACCCATAATTGTAAAATTCAAGGGCTTTTTCAGTTAGCTTTAGAGATTTGTGAAGCTATCATTTATTGTGTTTCTGTACCTTAGATGCTTATCTTTCTTTGGCAGAGATCTTGAAGAATAATATTACTTTTTTAAATAATATTACTTGTGAAGTATTCTATCTTTATAAGAAATTGACTAGGAAAAATGGTATGATCGTCAGTCAGCTCTGTACCTCATTTGAGATTGAAAAATGTTTAAATCTATTATTGCCAGTCTATTTTAGGATTCTTTCATAAAGAGGCATTTTGGTGTAGAGTTGAATTTGAATTTATCAGTCATTAATTAGTTAAGGCTTTGTGAGCCTCATGATATTTTTCCTAAACTTATTTTCAAAGTAGGACTCCCTTTTATAATTGTTAGTAGCTATTAGAGACCAAATTCTGTGTTTTTGTTCTCTTTATTATTTCTATAGGTATGTAATTATTTTGTATAAAAGACTGTAGCACATAGAGCATTTCCCCATGTATAAACGCATCAGAAAATATTTGAACTATGTGAATTAATCATTTGGGCTAAGATTATTTTCTACTATTAGGTGCTAAAAATTCAAATATAGGCCTACTGAGACCAATATGAAGGATATTTGCATATTTGCATATAGGTATATTAAAACAGCTTCCAGGGCCGGGGAGGTAGCTCAGTGGCATAAACACCTGCCTGGCAAGCACAAGGTCCTAAATTCAATCCCTGGTGTCGCAAAAAAATTTAAAGAAAAAATAGCTTCCAAACTTTGTTCTTAGAGTAAACAAAATTAGGTATGAAAAAGAAACATACAATCCAATCCCCGGCTCTGCAAAAAAAAAAGAAAAGAAACATACAATCCTATAGCTATGATATCAACTGTCTAGTGACTTTTTTTCCAATAAATTTGTGATTTTTTTCTTCATATCATCCTCTTACATAATAATTCTAACCAGCAAGATTATATTTCTTGATTCAATTGATAGCTCTCATGACTTCTAGAATGAGTTAGGTTTTAGGCAGTTCTTAGGTATACATATTATACCTATTCAGGGCCCACAACATTATAATTTGAATATTGGGTGAATTAGGTAATTTAGCTTATCAGATTTTCTTGTGTTATGCTTTGGTCTATATACATTTATATATACATTGAAATTATGTAGCATTAACATTATTTAGAAAAACAGTCTTTTTAAAGATGTCTAATTTTCTTTTAGGTTCATGCCTGGGAAATTTCTGACCAATTGTTACAGATCCGGCAGGATGTGGAATCATGCTATTTTGCCGCACAAACCATGAAGATGAAGATTCAGACCTCATTTTATGAGCTCCCTACGGATTCTCATGCCTCTTTAAGGGACTCATTGCTAACCCACATACAGAACTTGAAAGATTTGTCACCTGTCATTGTAACACAGGTAAGTCCTATGCTTACTTATTAGGAAAATTTATAAGAAATCATTTGTATGTTTTGATTATTGGTAGACCATGTGAATACTATTAACTTTATTATAGAAGGTTTGCTATATGTGGATAAAATGTGAAAATTTTAATCTTTTGCATTAATCTTTGAGTGTACTAGGTTTTAAACTAACTTAAATACTAGAAGTGGTAAGTTGAGGGTATGTGTTCATTGCCATGCATGTGCCCCCTGGTGTTAAAACTGGAGATGACAAAAAAAAAATTGTATTGTGCTGGGTCAGAGGTTTTCAGAGTTGCCTTGTAAAAAAATTCTTTCTAAGCTAATAAAACTCTTCTTGAGCTAATAATGTGAATCTTTTCTATTGGCTTATAAAAATTACATGAATAAAACTGAACAATAGCATCAGGCCTTTTGTATTCATTCAGACAAAGATGTACATTATTAAAGAAAACTCACTGGGCATGATGGTGCATGCCGATAGTCCAGCACGTGGAAGGATGAGACAGGAGAATCGCCATGAGTTCGAGGCCAGCCTGGACTACATAGTGAGTTCAAGGCCAACCTACACTACATAGTGATACCGTCTCCAAAAAAAAAAAGAGGGACAACTGGAAGCTTCCTTAAATACATGTTCCTATATGTTTTCTGCCTGGCGTAGAAGTGCCCTTAAAGAAGAGGCTTTTTTGTGTGCTTTGTTTTGTTTTTTGAGACAGAGTCTTGCTTTGTAATTCAGGCTGGTCACTTTGTAGCCAGGGCTGGCCTTGAACTCAACAGTGATCTGAGGAGGCTTTTGTATAAGACTTCAAGATGAGAAAGAGAAGGGAAATGGCAGTGCATCACTTGAGGACTGAAACAAAGGTCTGATTTTGTCACTGGCTTTGGCCTTTTGGCCAAAGTAGTATTTATTTATCCATGAAATCCTATAGTGTTGCCAAATAAATGTACATATGGATGGATGTGTTTTTTGTTTTGTTTACTTTCAACAAGTAAAAGGAATTGAAACTAGGACTTTGCACATAGTAGGCCAGCACTCTGCCACTGATCTGCATCTGTATCTCTGTTTTGAGACAGGGTCTGGCTAAATTGCTCAGGCTGGCCTCTGGAGCAGCAGGGTATACAAGGACATACAAGGACACAGCTGGGTAGACATACAATCTAAGGAAGATCTGTGTTTTTTTCTTACTTTTGTTGTTTTGTTTTTTAAATTTTTTAAAGGTTAATATTTAAATTCCAGAAATTTGTAACTATTCTTAAGGTGTTTACGTGAGATACATACATACAGTATATAGTCGTGGGGATAGAGGGAAGGTAAAAATCAGTCTTGTCATTTCATACTGTTTTGAAGAAATTCAGTCTCTGCTTTCTAATGCATATTGATGGCAACCCTGTTCTGTTTATCCTTCCTATTCATTTATTTAATCTCTTATTCAGCTGGCTTTAGCAATAGCAGACCTTGCCCTACAAATGCCTTCCTGGAAGGGATGTGTACAGACATTGGTGGAAAAGTAAGTAATTTGTATCAACAGTATACGAACAGAATTAAAAATAAGCTATATGAAGCTGGATATAGTGATGTGTGCCTGTAATTGAAATTAAAAGTAAAAAAGGACTAGGAATATAAAGGCCCTCTTTCCAACTCCCAGTAGTACAAAAACAAAACAACCTTTTTAATTTAAAATAATAAACTATCCATTTAGGGGCTTTTCCCATGTTTTGTTCTATTTAACAGTAAAATAAAGGTTGCACATTTTGTTCAACACTAATTTCCCAACCAGTGCAAACAAACACCAGGATTACTTGGACCTGGGGATATAGCCCAGTGGCAGACTGCTTGCTTTGCAAGTTAGGAGGTCCTAAATTTGAGATAGAAAGATAGATGTCCTTTTTTTTCATTGCTAAATAGAATATACCATGAAAGTCCTTACATGAATATTTTATTATTTTATGGGGTATAGGTTTATTTTGGACTGGACCCATGAGGAAATGCTTTACTCAAAGTAGTGGGTTTCGTGTATCTAAAAGGAAGATGACCCCTTTGACAGACACACACGACACCTCAGCTAGTAAGAACATATCTTAAGTACTATGATAATATTTTTATTAAATTGTTGATATGTTAATAACCCACAAGTCAGTGAAAGATTGTTGCAGTTAACTCATGTTGGGGAACTGTGAATTCAGGTTCTTTTGTATCCCCTATAATATATTTCTGTAGCATTTAAATTCTTTAATTTATCAAAGGTTAAAAAAA